TTAAACAAGACATAAAAGACAGAGGTGACTGCATTTGCACAGCTTTAAAACAATAGATGCAGCTGTAGAATATTACAGGTGTGATGGCTTTCTCTGCGCTAAGTTCCGGTGCCTGGGTGAGCATGTGCTCATGTGGTTGGTGCTTCTCTTGACTGATGACACATGGGACTCTTCATTATGGAAGTGAATGCTCTGACACTTGATGAAATTGGGGCACCCTCAAAACCCATGCTCAACTAGAAAGGTCTGTTCTCTGTAAGAAGCACTCCTTCCAAGAAAAATAGCAGGGTGGGGACTGACACTGATACACTAAAAAGGGCCCTGAGACTCAGCACAGATATGACAAATGCATATCCTCCCCAGGCTTTGTGTCTTTCTCTGGATTTGGCCACAATGCTGAATAGACAAGGCTGTGGACTGTCCATTGGGGCTTCAGAGAGTGTAAACATCATTTAAAAAAAACAAAAAACAAAAAACACCAAAAGCTGATAGCCACTGCCTGGAGAGCTGGAGTTTGGAAGAAGTTAGAGGTCAGGCATTGAAGCTAGAGGACAGAGGCCATCACAGTGGACACAGTTTGGGGCTTCAAGGGCCTTACACAGAATTCTTGGGTTCTGAGAGGTTGTTCTGTGTTTTGCAAGAGTCATGTTGGGTAGGGAGGGTGAAGGGGAAGGTTAGCATCATAGGAAAAGGTAAGAGACTTGCAGTACTTGCTTTGGTCCCTTTTCCCCTATACCCTTTTCCTGTCTCTCTTCCTAGCCTGTGACTATTTTTCTGATGTCTGATAAAGTGGCCATCTCCAGCTTCGCTTACCTAGATTAGTCCTGGATAGATGAGTTTGAAACATTACTCACTCCTAGTTAACCATATATTAAATCACAACCCTAAAGAAGGCAAAATGACCTGGTATGTTTTAGGAGTAATTTAAAGAAATTAAAGAACTCTGTTAGGGGCATTGTCTAAAAAGAGGAAAGTTATTCATTGAATTTCCTACTCCCAAATCTCTACCTACTCCCCACCAACCAAAGCATTTGGTCTGGCTAGGAGAACAATTATGCTCATTTTTCCTTATCTCCTTTTTAACCTGGAAGAAATATCTCCTCTGCATTGTTGTGGAGAAGGGATAAATGAGACAGATAGATGGGGGCAGGTATGAGAAGGTGACAGGAGCTGGTTGCCGAGTTACCTTTGTGATCCATCTCTGCAGATGCCAGTGTTAATTCCATGGGGACTCAGCAAGACTGATATCCAGCACTGACAGTTTGGACATCTAAACATGACCTTGGATGTGCCCAAAACCGCAGCTGAGGCTATGCCAACTTTTCAGTGTAGTATATCACAGAGGCTGAGTAACCATGCTGGAAATTGGCTGCATTTAGAACATTCCTGTATCTGCAGAGGGGGCTTTTTGGCCCTGTAATGTGATCCGGCATGGTGAGAAGACTTCCGTCTCAGTCAGTTTTCAATAATTAGGCTCACAGGGTAGCCAAGGACAGTTCTCCTGAATTCCTCTTGAGGTCATGAAATGCCTGTGCATTTCATGATCCCATTTCATGGGATCAGCAATCATCTACATAGTATGGATTTTGTGGTTCTCTGTTTTCTGCCCCCTGGACATTTAACTGGTGTTTGGTTGGACTTCAGCTGCTTTGAGCAAGAAATAGCTAGAATTCTGCTTCTGACTTCCTGGGACATATTGGCTAACAGGATAGTTCTCTCCTATAAAGCAGTGGGGCAGTTTTTCCAACAAGTGTTATTTCCCAGTGCCCATTCACTCTGCTGCTCTCATCTCACCACGTACCAGATATCTAAGTCAGTGGTTCTCAAAGTGTAGTCCCCAGACCACTACCAGCAGCAGCAGCAGCCCTAGGGATTATGTCACAAATGCAGCTTCTCGAGCTCCACTCCAGAACCACTGAATCATAAACCTTGATAGTGGCTCAGCAGTTCCTGAATCTTCAGATTGTCCAGGTGATTTGCAGTCACACTGACTGAGGTCCATTTATGCAAGTAGGTATTCTTTTTTGAGACCCTGTGGGACAGCAAAGGCAAAGCTTTTAGAGCTTTCAAAAATAACAAACAGCCTATGGAGGCACATGTGGCATAGATTCACCACCACCACTATGGGACATTCAAGGACACTAAATTTGGAAAGCAAAACAAAGCAAAACTTCGGGAGATTCTGGTTCTGCCGTTTAATATCTGTCTGATTATAGTCACCGTAGATGTTTCTTAGTCTTGGCTGATCTCAGTGATGAGTACAACCAGATTTTGGACATGCTAAAACTGCATGTAAGAAGCTTACATTCCACCTAGAATATAGCAATATGTGTTCAACAAGCACTGGCCATCAGTCTCAATGTCACCACTGCCCTGACTGGATCCAAGCAAAATCAGGGTAGTGACTGCCCTCAGGGAAATTAACAAATAGTGTCCCAGGTTTCTTAATCTTTTTCCAGCAAGCTGCAGTGTGTTGTCCTTCTTGATAGATTTCAAACTAAGCTGGTTCCAAAGCCCTGTTTCAGCCCAAGGTGAACAACACTGGCTCTGTAAAGAACCCGGGGAATGAACATTGGTGTCTGGAGCTTCTGTGGACTACACTCCTCTCTGGCTGGTTCACTCTTAGACTACATTCTGGATTTCATCAGCAAGGTCAAAAAGAAGGCATGCAGTACACTTTAGACCAGCCTAATCTTTGTATGCATTTGAGTTACCTGAAGATCTTGTTAGAATGCAGATTCTTAGTCATTATCTCTGGAGGTCCTATGATTCTCACAAGTTCCCAGGTGCTCTCCATAGTGCCCTTGGCCCACCACACCACACTTTTGCATAACAGGGTGCTGTCCCTGTGCCTTTCAAGTGCTCATATGCAGGCACTCCACCTCAACAGAAGTGCTACTCGGAGAATGACTTGGGAGCTATCAACATGGGAACTCTGTGGGTTTAAAATGCAGAATCTCAGGCCCTACCTCCGACCTGCTGAATCAGAATCTGCACTGCAGCAAGCTCCCAAGCAGTTGAGAAGCATTCTGAGCTGACTGAATGACTGTATTTGCATAAGGACCTACGTTTGCTTTCATGCTCTACTGTCACCCTCTTGAAATGCTTGCTAATTCTTGCGCAAAAGTCTTTGCATTTTCACTTTGCATCATGCGCTAGGAGTCCTAGGCACACTATTCTACACAAGTATCTTTTAAAATTTAGTCTGTACATGACCCAATTAGTTTACTGTTACAAACTTGTGGTACTGCTAAGAATTTGTATTTCTAGTCTGCAAAGGTTCATCAAAGGGGTTAGAAACTATCTGTGATTCTAACATAAGGGGTCCTCACTCACTTTTAGGAATAGTCATCTGATCTTTCCCTAGTTAGGTCTTTGGGCACTTCCATACCTTCTAAGAGAATGGCACTGAAAAGCCTCTGGATCTCTCCTGCATTGTCAGAAAGTGTGACACTCAGCACAAAGCTTGCTGGCCACCAGAAAAACAGTGGTTTGTTGTTGTTGTTGTTGTTTTGGGTTTTTTGTAAGTAATTTCCCCACAGGGGCTCTGGGAAAAGCCTCCACATGCTCTTGAGTAGCTGTCCATTGGTGGAGTGACATCTGTTCAAGTAAAGCAGAATGAAGGCAGAGTACAGTATGTCTTACCTCGAGAGAGACTAGCTACAGAAGCCAGAAATAGCAGTGTAGTGGTACTCAGCAGAAGCTCACTATTTCATAGGTCTTTTTTATGGTCACAAATAATTTTGAGGATGCAATAGAAGCAAATATCCCTCCCCAGTGAAAAATTCACCTTTGGCTGAGGCATATTCAAGACTAGGATTGCAAGACGTAGATGAAAGATATGACTTGTACTCTTTCTTGTCCTTACCAGATCACCTGGACCTATACAGCCTCAGTCTTTGAAATAGCAGATAAGGGAGGGCACTTGCCTCACAGACATTACAAGAATCAAATAAGACAGAATTAATGGACACCACAAAAGAATATATAAACTTGAGGCATCATTATACATGCCTTGCAAAATTGTTATTTTCAGCTTTATAGTTAGGATCAGGACACTGAGTCTGTAAATTTAGCCTAAAGCCATAGACATACTTGGTGTAGCAAGAGAGAAAAATTAATACAGACAGAAAAACATGAGGAGACTTGGCAAGAGATGCTGGGAAATTTCAAAGTATGAAAAAGAGAAGGAAGTTTCTATAATTTGAGGACTCCAGATGCAAAAATAAAAGAAAAAGAAATCTATTTTTATATGTGCAAACAGTTTTAAGAGTCTGGAAAATGCCTTTAGTCTAGCAATAATTGAACATTTCTGCCCCTGAGTATAATGAAGGTAAATAGCAATGGTGGCAGTCCATATTTAGTTTGAATTCAGAAGCCTTCTGTTGGAGTTTGCTATTCTAAGAAGAGTGGAATGATGGTTAGTAGTTAAAAGCTGGGTTTCTGAGATAGCACATGTTAACTGTGTGAATTGGAGAATTATTTAGTTTCCCTGTTCCTGAATCTTTTCCCAGCAGCACATATTCCCCAGAGTTGTAAGTATTGAACAACTTAGTATACTCAGAACACCCGGATGGTAATGCGAGGAATCATCACCATCTACATCACAGAAATCTTTGAACTTAGGGATGGCCAGTAGTGCTTTCTTGGGTGGGAGTCCAGCCATTCTGAGTGTTCGGGTCATCCTCAGGTTATGACTGAGATGCCTTGAAGAGATCCTTTACTTGCATGGTTTCAGAAGCCTTTATTACTTCTCAGGACCTATGAGCCTAAGGCAGCCAATGTTCTGAGGTGATAAACCCAAAACTCCTCTGCTGTTGAGCTCCAGAACATTCCACCCATGACAGGTTAAACAAAAAAATGCATGTGTATATACCAGGGGTGAAGAGGTAACCTAAGGCATGATAAAGAGACATCCTACCCTTTCTGGGAAGACTCCACTATGGTGGCCTCTGTTTTTTCTCTGGTCCTTTGACATATCTGTCTGACCCTACCTTCAGGTGCACGATCGACAACCGGGTCACACGGGTAGCCTGGCTCAACCGCAGCACCATCCTCTATGCTGGGAATGATAAGTGGTGCCTGGATCCTCGCGTGGTCCTCCTCAGCAACACCCAAACCCAGTACAGCATCGAGATCCAGAATGTGGACGTGTACGACGAGGGCCCATACACCTGCTCTGTGCAGACAGACAACCACCCAAAGACCTCCAGGGTCCACCTCATTGTACAAGGTGGGTAGGGCTTGCTGGGAGGTCTTGTGGGGCCCAGGGCAGCAGCCTGTATTAATGACTCTTTCTATGACTGTTGGCATAGACGAGTTCTGTTTCTTTTGTTTAGTGAGGACACCTTTCTGGTTGTCACTTTGCAATTTACACATAGAAGCTGAATTCCAGTAATTTGCCCATTGAGTAGGATTTGGTTTTTTCTTCCTTGTTTGTTTTATTCCAATAATGTATTTTCTTGTTTTCCTTGGCTATTTTCTCCCCTAAGCATTTTTAAAATGTCTGTCCAGCTCTGAGCTATCTTTATTTTAACAGCAACATCTTAATTTTTTTTTTAATACTGGGTGTACACCATGTCCTAGGGCTGCCTTCAAAGAAAGCAGAGCCAAGCAGGATGCTCACAGAGGTCACCTCAAGTGTGTCCTTCCCAGCCCCACTGTTGTTTCCAGTTTGTTTGCTCTGTCTGGTCTGTCCTCTTCCAGCCTTGGGTTTTCAGTTCCATGTCTCTGTTTTAAAAACTGTGTCAAACTCTGTTTCATTTGTACTTCAGCTCCCTCCCCATTCTGCACTTTGGTGACCTTGTGTATCTTCTTGGTTTTCTATTATGCCTTTGTTGGTTTTATATATGTGTGTATACTTCTCTGGGATCTGCTCTCTGTTTCTTAGAAGTTGGGCCTGGTGTTTGCTTCTTCCCACCATGTGAAGTTGTCTTGAGGCATTCGGGCAGTACCTAACATGTGGATGTGCTTCTCGTTACTAAAAGCTTGAAGCCTTCCTGGGTGGCTTTCCAGCTATGAGACATTGATCAAGTTATCATAATACTTCTGGCTCTCTTTCTGTAAAATAGGATCAATGCTAGGAGCTGGATGAGGATTGTATTTGACCTATGAAACATACGAATTACTTAGTGGAAGGCCACAGAAGGGCATTTTACATGTTAAGTATTATTCTACTGTGTGCTCTTTCAACATTGTTATTTTAAAAAACTTTTTAAAAGCCTTGTATGGTAGATTTGATAGTTGTTTTGCTCTCAGATGCTAAAGTCATAGAGCCATGACATGCCAGCTGCTCTGTTGCAGTGTCTTACCCAACTTCATTCCAAGTTCACTCATCCAGAGGAAGGACAGGTACGGGGCAATGAGGTTTTCTTCTGGAGTTATCGGCAGCCAACTGTCCCAGTCAGCATGCTTGAGAAAGGGTGATCCATAGCCAGGGGTGTTTGGCTAGAGAAAAATGGGGAAGGGGTATGGCTTCAGAAGAAGAATTCAATGAGCTGGAAGAACTCAATGAGCTGCTAGCTGTGAGAAGGGAAAAGAAAATAAATCTTACGGCACAGATGAAAATAGTGGAAAACAAGCTAGAATGAGCAGTAACAAGAACAGGACAAGGAAGAGTAAGTGGAGAATCAGGACCAGTTTAGGTAGAGACTAAGCCCAGGGACCTTAGAAACCATCATGCTAGGGCAGAGAATAGTTATAACAAGTTCCCATTGTTTCTTACCTTTTCACCAGAGGAAATGTTGATGTTTTGTTTCTTTGATTAGTTCTATAAAGAATAGTTTTCAAATTGCTGCATGCAAGTGGCATTTTAAAGTAAAATTTAACAGAAGATATCCAAGTGTATTACAAATACCAGAGGAGGTATTACTATGTGAGCTCTTTATTTCAGTGTGTCTATGTTTCTAATAGAAAATGCATTTTTATCATAGATAGACAAAATAAAAGTTTAAGGATAACTATTGTATAAGTGAGGCTTGGTGAATGCTCCACTGGCTGCTTTGAGAACATCCACACCAGACAGCACTTTTGACATCAATTCCTAGGGAAGAATATTCGCAATGATGATGAAAGACTAAGAACTGTGGCCAGATATTTGCTTTAGGAAGCGGAAGCTTTATGGGAATGGAGAATGGAAGGAATTATGAAAAATGTAGAAGCCTCTTGAAACAAGAAACCTTGTTTTTGTCATTTTTTTATTTTCTTAAATCGTCCTGTGTACACCTACACATACCATCCCTAAACACTTGGTAGAGTGCCTTAAACAAATTAAATATTTAATAAATGCTTACTGAAGCAAATGGCTGGAATTATAGTGCAAGGAACTTGCATCATCTGCAAGAGAGAAGGTTGAGCATTACCTGAGAGAAGGGGTGTTGGGCAGAGGTGAGGTGATACAGTCCATATTCATCCCCACCAACGTCCAAACTAATGGAAAATGTCTAATTCACAGCTAGGTGTTTACATCTGTGGCTTGGTGAGGTGCCCTCTTAACATGACACACCATCTTGAGTATTGGAATCTCATCTTGGGCTAATTTTCGAATGCTGATGGGTGTATTGATCTGGAAACAAGCTGGATTAAAAAAGGCATTGGTCTTGTACACTGAATCATCCCAAGCTAATCCGCTGTCAATATGGCTGGACCAAGTATTACTGACACTTTAATGAATAGAAGACCATAGCTTTTTCAGAGTCAACCTGTTCACACTCTTCAAAGCAATCACACAAATTAAATAGAGCCGACTCCTCTGTTTCTGTTTTGGAAAGAGGATATGCTACCATCTAGGATTAAAAAAAAGAAATATATTTATCTTGGGATCATTTATTATACCAAAAAGAAGCCCAAATTCCCCCTATCAGGAGCTGACTGTCTGAATTTTTTGCTTTTCAACTCTGAAGAGAGAGGATGGCTGAATTGCAATCAGACACACTACATTTTCAAGGATATGATCATCAAAAAACAGAAGAGTAAAAAGAGCAGCAACAAAGAATTCACCTGATATTCTGCCTATGTGTATGTGTATTTATTTGTATGTAGTAGGCATTATATATAAATAGACCCACACAGAAGGTAGTAGCATCTTTCTACCTAAGTTCTAGGATGATATCTACAATTCTGACTATCAAATATCCCATCTACTCCATTGGCTTTTTATTCTAAATTCTCTTTCTTCATGGTTGTGATGATGGCTGTGTTTAGTTCTTTCAGACAGAAATGGCACCATCTTTGCATTATTCCTTCCTACATTCCAACATACAGTAAATAACCACTCAGTGCAACCCTGGTCACTAGTCCGCTGGCCAAGCACTTAGCACATAATAATGAGAAAAAGAGTCGCCTGTGAAAAGTTTATTGACTTTTATGTGGAGATGGACTTATAGCCAGATCAGCCTCTCTCCCAAGAATTTATCTTCCAGATATATAGATGCCATGGCTAAATCTCTACTCCAAATTCTCCTGGAAACATCTGAAATGTGGGTCCTATTACCCTCTGTTATCTGATTAGAATTTGAAAGCATGCAGAAATAACCTGTGCACAAATGAGACTTGTGCATTTATGCCTCACCCCAAATCCTTGGTGTTGATGAGCTTTGACCTGGGAGCTCAGGCACCTGTGGGAGGGATCTTCAGCTGTCAGAACCGTCTTCCCGTCCAAGGTGAACTTCAATCAGAGAAAGCTTTATTGGACAATGCTATAAGTGGTTACTAGCATAGAAAAGCACTTGATGTTAAATCTGGAATGGTTCCTAGGACCTGAAGGCCAAATATGTGATAGAAAAGATAATGGATTTTTGGAAAGAGAATAGATATTAAAACAACAACAACAACAAAAAGTTCATTTTTTTTTTTTATATATATTACAAAACTTTTTTTTGTGGTTCCAGGGATTGAACTCAGGACCTTGTGCTTTTGAGGCAGGTGCAGTGCCACTGAGCTAAATCCCTGGCCAACATTTCTTTCTTTTGAACAAGGGAATTCCTTTCTCAGCTAGGACAGAGAAGGTCTGAAGACATAGGTGAAGGAAACAGGCAGTGCTTTGGACTGGTTAAATATGAAAGCAGAGGAGAGGAATCCATCAGAACTCTGCGATTTTTACTGTGGAGTGCTGGGTGAGGCCAACACTTGCTCACTTAAAGCATCACATAATAAAACCAGTTCCTTGGTGGTGAATGAGTTTGGAAGGTGGGACAACTTGACTATGAGATGCCTTGAATACACCATTCACAATATGAAAAAATAAGAAATACTGCTCAAGGATTTGCGTTTCCAGTCAGGCAGCCAGAACATTATGTTTAAAGATAGAGTGAGGGAGATCTATCTAAGATTTATTAAAATGTGGATGTAATGGTTTCCATCCCTCTGACCTTACAGTTTTGCACTTTATGTGTATAATTAATAAGTGGCTGTTTCTGGAGTCTAGCTGAATATTTTAGACCTTTTGCCCTCTTGATTTTGCTGCCAAACCAACCTTTTGGTACTGGTGAGATGTCTCCCCCCCCCCCCCCGCCGCCGCATTGTTCCCTTGGATGAAGCCAGAGTTTGGAAAATATACAATGGATAAAACTTTCAGTGGTGCTAAATTGTTTGCTCAATTAGGGGCAGTTTGGGAAGATATCTCTAAAGCCCTGTGAGCATTGGTGTAGCTAAAGCATGTTGCACTTCTCTGTAGAACATTAGGAAAACCCCCTTATCCAAGCATGGAAAACTGACTTCTCAGCCTTGACCTGTGTACCTGTGGGACTTTAATCTCACTTAGAGACACTTTGCATGAAAGAAAGCAGTAGAATATAGACCGTATAAAAACAGAGATATTAGTGTAATAATAATAAAAAAGCTTTGGCCTCTTTATCAGTTTCCAGGCCCTATCTACGCCTCTCCTTTGTCACCAGTGCATCTAATCACCCCCTCCCTTTTGTTTGGTGAAAATGAGTTTTCCTATTTCTTCCTAGGCAGAATTAATCTGAAAATCCCTGCTATTGTTTGATAGTTAATTACCTGCCTTTGGAGTTAAGCAGCTCTGAAGCTCAGGTGAAAGGGGGGAAAAACACCAATGTCTATGGAATTGTGTCCCAGTGAGAGAAAAGAGCCAGGCCATTGATGTCTGTTGCCTGTATTATTGGAATTCTATGGCTCAAGGGACTAGGCTGAAGAGCCATCCAGCCCCAGGCCGTGACTTGCAAACAATAGAGATTTAGCCGTATCAGTCTTTCATTTACCTTTTATTATCTC